GTCGACATTGGGCAGAACTGGAACTGGAAGGTGGTATGGGATGGGCTATACCTCAGTACGATCAGCACGAACATGGGAGGGAGACGCGATGGCTCCATCCCTTTGTTTGTGGGTGTCGCCCCCAAGAGAGGTGGTTACTTCGTCAGTGTCAGTCTTGCTGATGGGGAGGAAGGAAGAGTTGCGAGCATCATGGGTGTTGTCACGGCTGGCCATGATCGAAGTTTGGAAGAATTGTTTTGGTCTTGAATCTATAACAGAAGAAAGACGAGGATAATAGAGTTCCCACAAATGACACCACTGATCTTGACGGCTGATCAGAACCTGAAGCGGGCCAAAGACAAAGTCTGTGATACTGGGTGTAAGAGAAGAGGAATGAGGTGTACATGCAAGGCACTCTGATGCTAAAGTAAGGATCAAGAGAAAAGAAGGCAAATACAGAGTATGCGTGTATTAGGATGAATATTGAAAATCTGACCCTCTAGAATGAGAAGGTTTTATAATGCCCCCAGCGCTTGGCCATTGACCACTATTTTTGGGGCGGGATAATCGTTCCCTGAAGAATAGGCAACTGCCAGAAACTAGCCGTTAGGACGAGCAAAGGTGCCCAAAACTAGTCATTGCTACGGGCAGAGACGCAGTAACGGGCACACGCGTCGTGACTGTTTCTGGATGGTGGAACCGTGTGTGACAAGCAAGAAATGAAGAGGAGAAGTAACTGACCATGGGGTAAGCCGACCAACCTCTCTTGGTGGAGGGGCAGAAAGGTAAATGCTCCCCCAAATTGGTTGGACTTAGGCAATTAGGTCATTCTGAAATTTTTATTATAATAGATATATGGAAATTTGTAAAATTTATTCGAAATATTTGAAAAATGAATTATGAAAGAGGTAATTGAAAAATTGATGTATTTTGACTTAAATAGATTTCATTATCCCTCTTTAATTTAATACAATATTTTAGAAAAGTTTCACAATCATTAAAAATGATTTAGAATTAAAATGGTTTATATTTTTTAAAATAGTATATTGTATAAAAAAATTGTGCCTCTAATATTTTTGATGCTGAGAAACTTCAATACAATGGTCAGAAAGCTTACAAGATTAAAAAAATAAAATGGTCAAAACTTGCAATTTCAAGATTAGAAAAATAATAATTTACTCAAATTTAATTAATAACTTAGCCTATAGTATTTTAGTTTTTGTGAGAGTACAACATATTATTAATACTATCCATTTTTTTTTTGGAAAATGCCAAAATTATATTACAACCAAACGAAAAGGTATAAGATATGTCATATGAATCCACAAACTTAATCAAAAACATAAACAGATATACAACCTATAAGGCTAAACCTCCTGCCAAAAAATTTAGAGAATTTTTTATAGTATCCTATGTATTTCTACCACACCATGTGAAATTTTACATATGCCTCTTGATCCTGGAGATACATTTCTGGACGCACCCAAAATTCATGAACGTTGAAATATTTCGGAGATATATCTACGAAATAATTTGGAGCATAAGTCGCGTCAGAATCTTCTCCTCCCTCATTTCACAATTTTCACACGCAACCTCAAACTCACCTCAAACTCTTCTCAATACACTTCAACTTCACAACATAAAATTTCATCAAACAAGGCTCAAAGGAACATTAAACATCATCAATAATATCATTCAACATCATCAAAACCATAAATTTTAGGTAAATTTCTTAGTTTTCGGTAAATATTCGAGTTTTAGTGGAAATGTGTGGAAATCAATGATTATGACTAGAAATGTGTAGGAATTAGATGTAACATAATTTAGACTTAGTGTATGACTTGTTTGTTGGCTAAAAATGACGATTAAATCATGTTTTTTCAAATTGCATGAGCTATATTATGCCATTGTCGCAACCTCTGAGTTGTAGAACTTCCCAGAGATACATCTCCAAAATAGTTCAGCATTTCATATACTCTGAGAAATTTCGAAGATGAATCTCCGAAATTGTTTAGCGTTATTGTTTTATGGTGTTTCTGGAGATGTATCTCTGAAATTTTCTGCAGTTGTTTTTTTTTTTTTTTTACGTGCACTAATGATATGCCTTACTTTACCTTACAGGTATAATGGCTGACAAAGTCGACAGACTGAGACATGGCATGGTAGCCCAACATGCATCCGTCCAACTGGAGCGGAACCAACATGTTCTTGAGGAAGCAGGTACCTCTGGTCAGACAGAGGCATCGACTTCTGGGGTGCAGTCGAATTTTAGGGATCATGCTTCACCTCAAGCCACTCTATCTCAAGACACCCCACCTTCTTCTTCTTCTTCTCGTAGGAGACGGGATTCACCAGCTGACGTGTCACTTCCCCCATCCTCCCACATGCGTCAGTATTCACCAATGTCACCTCCTTCTTTTCCAATGCCACCTCCTGCTGATGATCCTGTTGATCCAGTGCCACCTCCGGAGGGTGAGGCTGCTACCAATGTTGAGTCATAGGGTTTAGGAAGAGGTCCATCTAATTTGTCTTTACTTCCTCTGTATCCAGACCACACTTCCATACATATATGGGACAGAGAGGTAACATTAGTTGATTATTTATTTATTTTTTACATTAATTTAAATTGTTGGCATTTATTATTTCTTACATTGATTATTTCTGGAAATTTTAGGTGCATGATCCCTAGAAGTTTCTTAAACATGAGAGGAAGATTGCTGGCTTAGCTCAACAGAATGGGGATTGGTTTTAGTCGGTTATGACCTTATCTAGTTTGAAGGACCTATTATGACAGTTTATACTCTGGTCAACCACGAGATACTTAATGCATTCATAGAGAGATGACATTCTGAGACCTTTTCTTTTTATCTCCTGTGTGGTGAGATGTCTATCACACTGGACGATGTCTCGTGTTTCTTACATATTTCAATCAGGGTGAGATTCCCCGATCATGGTAGGATGACTAAAGACGAGGTAGTCAAGATGATGGTAGAGCATCTGAGGGGTGATCTAGGGAATGAGATTAAGAAGATGGATAAAACCAAGGGTGCTCATGCTAAATTTAAGTTCCTAAAGGAGAAATATGATGATGAGATCCTTGTTGCACAACAGGCTCATGGTGATGCTGAGCAAGTGGCGGTACACAAGACTCGTGCTTTGAGACCATATTTTCTTTTTTGGATGACACTTGCATTTTTGTGGACACGAGTGCCACTTATACCGACGTTGCATACCTCTGGTACTTCTTGGATCTTACTCAGATCCATGACTACAACTGGGGGCGGCTTGCCTGTGTTATCTTTATTCAAAGTTGAGAGATGTATGTCGATGGAAGACAAAGCAGATCACAAGCAGCGTAACACTACTGGTGGTAATAATTTGTTATCCTTGAATATTTTTTTGTCAATTTCATTCCATATTTATGAAAGCATTGCCGATAATTCTTGATCTTTGAGTTAATTTATTTATTTTCATTTCAGGCTTAGATCCTCCAACGTTTCCCGCACATCGCTGCCTGTACGAGTGTGAATGAGTACACTGAGAATACGCCCCGTGCCTGTGCTTTTATCTCACTAAAAAGGAACCAGGTGGTCGAGCCTTTCAGAGTCTACGTGGATCACCATCAGACGCGACAATTTGATGAGACATCGCTATGCTCCGGATGGTTGACATGTAGATTGCGTATCACTGCTCCTCGCCTGCCTGACGCGTCATGCGGCAGTTCGGGTACATCCAGATCATCCCTATACACCTTACTGTATCTGCTCTTCCTGCCTTGAGTCGTAGACAAATAGAGGAGATGTTTGATGATTAAGAGAGTCATTTGGTTCCAGAGAAGGCACGAGCTACCATAGTACCGAATGACTAGAGCTACATCAACAGATACATCAGGTGGTTCTTCAGGGTGTTGCATTCGTACACGGTGCAGACTGATCCATGAGATCCGTCGAGACGAGCTCATCAGAAGATACTGGAGGAAGAGCATGCTCAGCTATATCATATTGATAATGTCTTGCCTCGGTATCGTCACATAGTGGAGATTGCGTGACACGCATTGACGAAGGTATCTTCCCTGAGGGGTCTGCTGTCAGGCGAGTTCTAGATGCCATGGTGGCGGAAGCACAAGGGGCACTGTTGTACCGCAGACATCGTCAGATGATGAGGGATTGATGGTCGAAGAGGCATAGTAGGCAGAGCAGGCAAATGGGATGTTGTCAGGCACACTCAGTAATAGTTTGTTATTATTTTGTTGTATTATTATACTCTCTACTTTACTATTACAATTTTATCACATTTGGAATCTCGATTGTACGACATTTTCGTTGTTATACTTCATTCAGTATTAGTCTCTTATTATTTTGTATGCCTATATTTTTTATTTGAGATCATGCTTCATAGTTCATCTATAAACAAATACACAACTAATAGCAAAAAACAATCTATTCTGATACACTTCGGAGATGTATCTCTGAAAAATTATCTGATATCCATCTCTGAAATAATTCATATGTAATGATGTCGAAATAACATGTTTTGAATGTTTAAAATAATTCTGAAAATGTATCTCTGAAATATATCAATATTTATTAAAAAATGTGTTCGAAAATATATCTTCAAAATTAAAAAATAAGTGAAAATTTACTAGATAAAAATCATCTAACATAGAAATAAGAAATTCTCAAAATTTAAGAATGATGTATGATAAATTTGTGTTTATGAAAAGCCAGTCACGCAATTACCCTATCCATTACTATGTGCGCATACACGACACGTGGGTTGTCATAAATTCCTTTTTAACACATTTTATCAAATAAAGAAAAAACCAACCCCACGCAAAGCACAAAGTAAGATAAAGTGGTTTTCCTTCATATATTTTTTATTGATAATAATAAATTCTTTTCCCTATAACTATTTTAAAAATATTCCCAAAACATAAAACCAATAAAGAATTAACGGCTTCATAAGCTTCACCAGATCTGCGTTATTTCACTTCAACCGGAAAAAAACTGCTTCAGATCATAATGGATGAGAAGCTCATACAGCGATTGGAATCGGCGGTACTGCGTTTGGAGGCAATATCTACCGGAGGCCATCCCGCTACCTCGCCGGCCGATGCTTCAGATGCGGCACTCGATCCATCCGTTGTTGCCTTCACTGATCTTATCGATCAATATCTCGGTAGGGTTTCCCGTGCTGCGGAGATTATTGGTGGACAGGTGTTGGAGGTCACCAATAGGATACAGGAAGCTTTCTCTGTTCAGAAAGAGCTTTTGATTAAGCTCAAACAAACTCAGGTTCGTTGATTTTTTGCCTCGATGAAAAGATGATTAGGTTTCTGTTGAATTGATGGATTTGAATTTCTCGTGCCACATTGTGAAGAAATCTGTGAATGGGAGATGAATATGATAATATTGCATTGCCGTGTTTTTTATTTTTTGCTGGAACTGAATCCAATACCAAGAGAACTGAATGTGATGGCATGACTTGGGCTAATAGAGAATCAATCAATCAAAGAGGAATAAAAGAGAAAATGTTTTGTAATATATTTGTTAGAATGGAAAATGGTCTAATGAACCATAGGTTTTGATGCAGTTGAGGATTTGGGCTTGCCACCTTTATGGAGGTTATCATTTTCTTCTTTCTTGATTGTCTGAATTTATGTTTCTCTGAATGGATGTATTATGTTCTCATCTGGGTTAGGGATATTTGTATGAATCTAGTGGGATGGAGCTGCCAGAATTGAAAAATAAGAAATTCTTCTCAGCTGGGAGAATCAATTCTATAGCATCGGAAAATTAGCCAAACATAATTAGCTGACTTTGAATTTTATCCCAAATGGCTATTACATCCGATGCTTTTCAAAACAAGAATGCACAGTGTACTAGGATTTCTCTAAAAGAAATACATAGCTAGCTGTTTATGGCCAAGAGAAATTGAATTTAGTTAGGAGAAAAGAAAGCACATATAGTTTCTCATACTTAAAGTTTTTATGTTCTTTGAAGTATATGTCTTCTCACATCATCCGTTATGTGCAGAAACCTAACCCTGCTGGGCTGGCTGAATTTCTAAAACCATTGAATGAAGCGATCGTGAAAACTGCTGCGTTAACAGAAGGAAGGAGATCTGATTTTTTTAATCACTTGAAGGCTTCTGTTGACAGTCTCTCAGCTCTAGCATGGATTGCATTTACAGGGAAGGATTGTGGTAGGTGCATGGTGATTCTTTTCTATGATGAATCTTTAACTTTTGGTATCTTATGAATCTTTTGTATTTTTTTTCAAGGTATGAGTATGCCCATTGCACATGTTGAAGAAAGTTGGCAAATGGCTGAGTTTTATAGCAACAAGGTACTCTTGATGCTTGTTGATTGTCTTGGACAACTTTCATGGCAGTCCTCTCCATATAGGATGAAAATATGGAGTTCCGTTAAAGTGATGGATTTTCTTCCTTAATATTTTTATGAATACAATAGTGCTGTTGTATCATGAATCAAAAGTAGTTTCAAATTACTTCAAAATGTATATCTATCCCTTCCCGAGTTACATCTGCGTAATGGCTGAGAAAAGACATGAAGGATGATCAATAGCCTTAATATTTATATGCTTAGAAACATTAATTTTGATTTTGAAAACTTGTTTTGCAATTGGCTTATATTAACATTTTAAGTACAGAGTGTGTAAACTTATCTTGCACTAGCATTTGAGAGTTTTCCTTGCACTTTCCTATCTCACTGCTATTTTAGGAGTAAAGGATACTGATATTTCCTTACATTTATTGTGATAATCAGGTACTTGTTGAGTACCGAAACAAAGACCCAAATCATGTTGAGTGGGTCAAAGCTCTGAAAGAGTTGTATGTACCTGGTTTGAGGGATTATGTGAAAAGCTTCCATCCTTTAGGCCCTGTATGGAGTCAAACTGGAAAAGTAATTGCTCCATCAAAAGCTAATGCTCCGATTGCACCTTCTGCTCCTCCTCCTCCGCCTGCGTCTCTCTTTAGTTCTGAATCATCCCAGGCTTCATCTTCTAAACCAAAAGTGGGGATGTCGGCTGTTTTTCAAGAGATTGGTACAGGAAATGTCACAGCAGGTAGATTATTCTTACTCTTGCTATTTTGATTGAATATTCATCATTTATGAATTATAAACTTTACCTTATAGGTCTGAGAAAGGTTACGGATGATATGAAAACTAAGAATCGCACAGAAAGAGCTGGAATTGTTGGTGGGAGCACTGTAAAAGAAAGTCATGCTGGTTCACGCGCAGTTGCTAAAGTAGGACCTCCGAAGTTTGAACTTCAAATGGGCCGCAAGTAGGTTTATACGTGTGTTTATACTTTAGTTGCTATATATTAAATTCAATGACAACAATTTCAGTAATCCACATTATCCTTTACCTAATTAATTCCTTGATACTGTAGGTGGGTTGTTGAGAATCAAATTGAGCAGAAAAGCTTGGTCATTGAAGATTGTGATGCAAAACAGTCTGTATATGTTTATGGATGTAAAAACTCCGTGTTGCAGATTAAAGGTAGTCATAATTATATTACGTGCTTCTTTCTGAATTTTCTATCCTATCACTTGGTGAAAAAAGGCCGCAAGTGACCAAATCACTTTTAACAATTTTTGTAGGCAAGGTCAATAATATAACTATTGACAATTGCAAAAAGATGGGAGTTGTATTTCAGGTTTGTAAGACATTATAATTAGAGATTTTATAACATTAGATAATGTAATCATTTCTTATAAGGGAAAATGCCGATTCATTTTTTGGTTTTATAATGTAGGACGTTGTTGCAGCTTGTGAGATTGTAAACAGTAATGGGGTGGAGGTTCAATGCCAGGTACTATGAATCCTCCTTCTTTTTATGAATCACATCAATCCATAGGCATGTCCGATTCAGTCTATATTATTTTGCCCAATATTTTGCTAGTGGTACTGTCTAGCTAATGTTATAACTGGTGAGGTGAAAAAGAAAAGGTTTAATAATAAATATGTACTTGATACATCTAATATGATTTACAAAAACTTATGCTTGCTTTCACAAATAATAGGGTTCAGCTCCTACAATTTCGGTGGACAACACTTCTGGCTGCCAGTTATATCTGAGCAAAGACTCTTTAGAAACATCCATATCCACAGCAAAGTCAAGTGAGATCAATGTATTAGTTCCTAACGCCGAGTCTGATGGTGATTGGGTACGTTTTCCCGCTCCATTTCTATATTTAACGCTGCAAGGTTTGGTTTTACTGTTGTTTGTAACCTATAATCTACTAATCCCAAGTTTGGCTCCTCATCATCTAGACATTGGCGCTTTCAATTTCATTAGAGCCTTGCCTCTTTTCCACCTAATTTCTTGAAGTCAAATTCGATGCTTTAACCACTGAATATTGTAAAATGCTTGTGTTGCTGTTTTTTTTTTAATTCAACTTAGTGAACCAGCGAAATAGGGAATTTAAGTGATATAAATTTCAAATTTCAACCTTATCTTATGTTTCAGGTGGAGCATTCTTTGCCACAACAGTACATTCATTTCTTCAAGGAAGGACGTTTTGAAACTACTCCAGCTTCTCACTCAGGTGGTTAAAGTTGATGGGCAATTGAGAGTTTCTTATTATTTTTACATCATCTTTCCTTGGATTGCTGTGGGAGTGGCTTCAATTCCTTGTTTCTCTGATTCACTTACAATCATCTATATATTTATTTACCATATTTTTAGTCGGCTGCGCTTGTTATTTTTCTGTGGCTTGTGGAACCATCAATTTTTTTTGGGTGTGTATGTGTGTCTGAGTTTGCTTCTGGTTGAGTTTTTTTCTTTTGTTCGATGCATTATGCAATTGAACTAGGTTTCGGATGACCCATACATTTGTCTTGATATCTTGGTTTAATTCTCAAGGTTTTGCATGTTTTTGAGGACACGTTATTTCTCCAGTTTGTAATGAGGGGAAAAAAATGTTGATGGACGGGACGTCCTTGGCTTCTGCTTACATGTTGATCAATAGCTAGAATATATAACAGTCACGTCTCAAAATAACTGACCCTAAAAACAATGTACTAAAATGACTGATTTCTTTTAGCTAATACTATTTATATAATTCAAATTAATATTTTCTAGTTTGTACTATTTATGATAAATTTGAATTCACCAATATATGATAATAGTATTTTAGACTTCGTTAAAATATTTTTCACTCTTTCATTTATACATTGTTTAAAATATGTGAATTATTTTAAATTGATTAATGTAATAAATAAGGGTAAGATTAGTGAAAATAAATAATAAATATTACTTGGTATTTTAAAGAGACAAATTGGTATTCTAGAGATAAATAATTTGAGACATAAAAATAGGAAAAAAAAGCATCTATTGTGAGACAGCGGCATAAGATGAAAGAAAAAAACATCAAACCTTTAAAGAATACCAGAACTAGAAAAACATCAAACCTCAAACATGAAGGAAAAAATACCAGAATTCTTAAAAGTGTACGAGGCACACGTTTAAAGGGATCAAACCGCGAACACGTAGGTGATGTATAAATACACACCAAAATTCGAACACCAGGTGGTGCACGATGAAAACGGTTAATCTCTCTATAGTAGCTAGTCACTTTAGTACAAAGACGGTGACCTTCATAAATATCGTCCTCGAACCAAATTTTTACTTGGGGCAAGGATGAAGAGTTGAACTTTGGCTGAGTTTGTTCTATGGAGACGTAGGTGATGTATAAATACACACCAAAATTCAAACACTAGATGGTGCACGATGGAAATGGCTAACCCCTCTATGTATCATCCTCGAACCAAATTTTTACTTGGGGCAAGGACAAGGAGTTGAACATCGGCTGAGTTTGTTCTCTAGAGACATAGGTGATGAATAAATACACACCAAAATTCAAACACTAGGTTGTGCACGATGGAAATGGCTAACCCCTCTATGTATCTTCCTTGAATCAAATTTTTACTTGGGACAAGGATGGTGAGTTGAATTTTGGCTGAGCTCGTTCTCTAGAGACGTAGGTGATGTATAAATACACAACAAAATTCAAACACTAGGTGGTGCACGATGGAAATGGCTAACCCCTCTATGTATCGTCCTCGAATCAAATTTTTACTTGGGGAAAGGACAAGGAGTTGAATCTTGGTTGAGTTTGTTCTCTAGAGACGTAGGTAATGTATAAATACACATTAAAATTCAAACACTAGGTGGTGCACGATGGAAATGGCTAACCCCTCTAAGTATCGTCCTCGAACCAAATTTTTACTTGGGGCAAGGACGAGGAGCTGAACCTTGGTTGAACTCGTTCTCCGGAGACGTAGGTGATGATGTATAAATACACACCAAAATTCAAACACTAGATGCTGCACGATTCAAATGGCTAATTCCTCTACGGTAGCTAGTCACTTCAATGTCCTCAAACCAAGTTTCTACTTGAGGGCAAGTAAAAGGAGCTAAACCTTGGCCGAGCTCGTTCTCTAGAGACGTAGGTGATGTATAAATACACACTAAAATTCAAACACTAGGTGGTGCACGATGGAAATGGCTAACCCCTCTAAGTATCGTCCTCGAACTAAATTTTTACTTGGGGCAAGGACGAGGAGCTGAACCTTGGTTGAACTCGTTCTCCGGAGACGTAGGTGATGATGTATAAATACACACAAAAATTCAAACATTAGATGGTGCACGATTCAAATGGCTAACTCCTCTATGGTAGCTAGCCACTTCAATGTCCTCGAACCAAGTTTCTACTTGAGGTCAAGTACAAGGAGCTAAACCTTGGCTGAGCTCGTTCTCTAGAGACGTAGGTGATGTATAAATACACACTAAAATTCAAATACTAGGTGGTGCGCGATGCAAATGGCTAACTCCTATATGGTAGCTAGCCACTTCAATGTCCTCCAACTAAGTTTCTACTTGAGGGCAAGTATGGAGAGCTAAACCTTGGTTGAGTTTGTTCTCCAAAAACGTCTAAAAAACAACATGAGACAAATCCTTGAAGTGACAACAAAGAGTTTGGGACAGAAATCCCAAACAAGGGGTCGACAAGGAGTGGTATACATAAAACCGACAAGGAGCAGGTATACATAAGACCGACAAGCTCAATTTATTAAGTCAAATACACTTAACACCTTTTTTATAAATAATTGATAAAAAACAATTATGTAAAGAAAAAGGTGATTTAAACTTGCATTAATAATCTTGCCAACATGTCCACTAGTAATTATCAAGTATAGGAAACAAAATAAAATTAGAAAAAATTAGGTCACGAACCTAAAAGGGATGATATTCCAATATGTTACTTTATAATAAGGGTCAATAGCATATTTGGATATCTCAATCTCAATGTGTAAAAGCTTAAACTTCTTCGAAACCTTCTCAAACGAATGATCCACACAAGCAATGCTAACACCCACAAATTTATTAAGAGGCGTCTTCAAGTGCTTTATCTCTTTGTCCCCATCATCTTTAAGGCGTTCTCTTTGTTATTCAGAGCTTCCCGAGCTTTGCTAATAGTTGTCTCATTCAACTTTAAAGCATCATTGGCTTTAGTGAGAGCATCATTGACCTTTGAAATTGTATTCTCTATGGCGTTCAGGGCCTCTTGAAGCTTACTAAGGGTAACCTCTTTGTCTCCAATGGAATTTCAATGTTTACCCGAGAGATCCTTCAAGTCATACACCCTAGTCTCTAGTCGTTTTCTCAAGGCACCCCTCTCTCGTGAAACTTCCTCGAGGTTTAGCTTTCACCCTTCCCAACAACAATGAGAGAGTTAATGGTGAATATATTTTGCATATGATAAAGCGCTTATGCCATGATCTCACGACAAACAGTTTCATGCAACTTGGCCATGTGCTAAAAATCACCTCCACGACAACAACCTTATTCCCAACATCTTACTTCTTCAAGTCATTTCTGTTGTTCCTTATTTTAGACGTCTTCTCGATATTGTTCTCTACAATAACGTCCACCTCTATAAGGACTTTTAACTTTACAAATTCCTTGAAAATAATGTCAACAGATGCTACTGACCACAGTTAGGGAATGGGCAGCTCTTCCTCCCTTCTTCAACTTATCACATCCAAATTATCCATAACTTATGCTAAAAGGAATGACATGTATCAGATTACAAATATAATAATAAGAAAATAGGAATATAAAACAACAAGAATAAAGGATGAGAACACTCCTTACCAAAAAAATATTTCTTTTACTCTTTAGTGCCTGCCTCTAACAAAAAAGCGCTTCTTAACATATCATGTTTTCTTTTTGAGAGAGTTGACACCCTCAAGATCAACCTCCTATAAACATTCAAATAATCCTCTAAACTTCATAATGGCTTGCTTTAACCTATATTCCTATTAGGAAATGTCGGCTTTTTTGTAAACATATGTCCTAAGGCCATAGACAAAGTGGTTTTGAGACTAACACGTTCTAAAATTGTACATGCATTTCAGTTGTGGATGAGGAATTTCATGCTTGGCAGATCGGCCAACCTTTGTCTTCAAAATCATCTGAACCTTAAAAGGATCTTTGTGAGTGCAATTTTTCGATAGACGTATTTTGAATGATATCAAAACCTGGATAATTTACCGTTAATATATATTGGACGATATCCTCTGATTCTATATGTGCATCTTTGCATTAGGAAGGATTAAAATGTTTTAGAAAAGGTTCATACATGATAAATGCATTAAAAATAAGGTTTTTGTGAAAACACTACAACATAGGTCCACACATACATGTTTAGGTTGACCTATAAAAGCTTGCTCTTCAACATAGGTCGACACATTGGAATTTTAGGTCAACACCCATGCCCCAATAATAAAGCCTATAACCACTGCCTATGTGCTGACTGACATAGGTCGACACAAGACCTTTATAGGTCGACCTAAGAATTTCATAGGCTGACACATTTGCTTTGATAGGTCGACCTATAGCTTTCATAGGTCGACACATGTGATGCATTTTTTTTAAATCATAATTTTCTCCATCCTTTTGCATTCTTTTTGCTTCCAAACTTACATACTTATAAATACTTGATATATGCATCATTTTCTAGTAAGGTTCTAGAGTAAAACCTACATGAAACTAGGATTTTAAAGCACACTCATCATCTTTAACCTCTCATCTATGCATATACACAATCAAACTATATATAATCATTTTTTGATTGAGTGAGCATCTAGATTAGGGTTGATAACATCAAATTAGGTTGTTGTACCGAGAAAATTGAGTTGGGTTCTTTAAGGGTTTCAAATAAGAAAATTGAGTCAAGGTTTTCCTTCAATATCATTGAGGATTTGAAGGTTTTGGACAAGATTATGGAACTTGGATCCGATCGAGTGAAAGCCTTGGGAAAAGGGGTGCCTTGCAAGGGAGTCGCGTGAGACGGTGGATTGTGTTGGTAAATCATGGGTTTCAACAAGTGTGCACTTGGGATTAATTCGACTGTGTGAAAGCCTTGGGACAAAGAGGTGTTTTAAAAATAAGTATCAAGAATTGGTGAATTAAAGTGACATTGTTGGTGACTTGATCAATCTTTGATCAAGGGTTTTTGAGGTGGTATAATCAACCACAAACCATAGGGT